AGGTACATGCATGTGCATGCCCCAAATCCCAACACGATGGAGAAACAGAGGAGAAGGGATTGGAACGTGGTCGAGCCTCATCAGGGAGCATTTTCTCCACCTCCCTCTCTCTTTGTCTTTGTTTCAGGCCCTCTGGCAAATTAAAAAATAAAGGGAAAAGAAAAGAAACAGAAAAAGGAAGTTTAAAAAGTGATTGGAGGCACACTTCCTTCTCTCTTCCTCTGCGCTGCCTGTGGAGGTGGCGGCCATCTTCTACCGGGCGACCTGGCTGCTCTCAGACCCCTTGTGAAACCCAAGATTGTCAAAAAGGGGACCCAGAAGTTCACCCGGCACCAGTCAGATCGATATGTCAGCATTAGCGCAACTGCCGAAACCCGGAGGTATTGACCACAGGGTGCGGAGGAGGTTCAAGCGCCAGATCTTGATGCCTAACATGCGTTACAGAAGCAACAAGAAAACAAAGCACATGCTGCCCAGCGGCTTCCGGAAGTTCCTGGTCCACAACGGCGAGCTGGAAGTGCTGCTGGTGTGCAGTAAGGCCTACTGTGCTGAGGTCGCCCGCCCGCGACCTTGCCTCCAAGAACCGCAAGGACGTCGTGGAAAGAGCAGCCCAGCTGGCCATCAGTAACCAACCCCAATGCCAGGAGGCTGCGCAGTGAAGAAAACAAGTAGACAGCTCGTGTGCACGTTGTATTTGTTTCTAAATGAAATCATAACCCCCTCCCCCCTAAAAAAAAAGTGGTTGGAGGTAGATCTGCAGATGAACCAAAATGGGAGAAGCAGCACCTTAAAATCGGAGCACCAAGGGCCTGCAGTGGAGCTTTGAAAGAATATTCTATCTCCAGGATTATTTCTGTTTGTCTTGACATTACTTTCACTATGCTGGTTTTCTTCATGTCAGGTGTCCTCATGGAGATGCCATCAAAAGTTGATGGCACAAAGAAATAAATGTTTAATTTTTATAATTTAAACTTCAGAAGATAGTCAACAACAATTTAAACATAAGATTATAAATACTGGGAAAACTAAGAGAGGAGAAGAGGGACTGAAATAAATCTGTATTCTTCATAAGAAGGAGAGTAAATATTGTCTAAAATGATAAACCAAGAAAGTGGAGGCAAATTATTCAGAGACATGGTGGAAATCACTAGAAGGATTAGATTATAAATAATAATAATAATAATAAATCGTTGCTTAATAAAAAGAAAAGTTTGCTTCTTGCATGGAGAAAAGGACTGTTTTCACTATAAACCCCTTGGACTATTTGATTTTTATTTGTTTTTTGGTCATATACACATTACTTTGATCAATCTAATAAAACATTTATAAGATCCCAGGCTGCATCATTCTCATCTATGTGATTTAAGTATTGCTTTTTGAGCTTGTGGCATTATGATTAGCTCAAGAATAATGTTTACAATCTGCCTGCCTTACCTAGGCTGTGATGATCTTGGACATCATTTTTCTTTTCCTTTTTTTATAAAGATTTTTGCCATAGAGTATTGCTTTTTGAGCTTGTGGCATTATGATTAGCTCAAGAATAATGTTTACAATCTGCCTGCCTTACCTAGGCTGTGATGATCTTGGACATCATTTTTCTTTTCCTTTTTTTATAAAGATTTTTGCCATAAGGCACATGTGCTCACCGGAGAGAGATGTGGAGAGAGAGGAAGTGAGAAATCACCACTCAGGGGGATGGCCATGCTGCTATCTCTCCTCCTCCATTCTCCTCTTGGGCACGCACGCATGCACATCTGGTGTGTTTTCCCAGTTGCTGGATCTGGGACTTGAACCAGGAATCAGTCATATGGGATCCAACACCTTAACCAACAAGCCACCTGCTGGCCCCTTGGAGTTCATTTCTTTCTTTCTTTCTTTTTTTTTTTTTTAAGAGAGACTTTTGCTATTAGGCGTGAACGCTCTCTGGAGAGACAGAGAGAAAGTGAGAAATCACCCCTTGGGGGGATGGCCAGGCCGCAATCCCTTCTCCATTCTCCTCTCAGGATTTTGGGCGCACATGTGAGTTTCAAGCTGGTGAGTCCAGGGCTTGAATCATGGTCAACTACATGGGAATCCAGCGACATAACTATTATACCATTTCTGAAGTACTGTTAGGAATTACAACTGTATCAATGACTAATTGTTGCAGAGCTTCCAAATTGTGATTTTTTTTCTTTTTTTTTACTTTTTTTTATTTTTGTCATAGGGAGCCTTATACTCCGTGGATAATAGAGAGACAGAAGGAGGT